ACTGATTCACGACACCTGATTCTGTCGGCTTTTCACCAAAAAACAGAGTCATGTGATGGTGACTGCAGCCACAACTTAATCTCAGGTCACTACAAAGCACATCCTGGCCCCCTTGCCTTGCTACTGATTTCGCCGGATACATGGCGAAGGTCAAAGATCGATAGGCGCTGGTGGATTTATGTAAAGCTAAAGTAACTCAAAAACTCTCATTTAGGGTATCCCTGTGCTCCCCAGATAGCTTGGTCACAACGGAATTGCGGGTTTTCGTGGAATTAGAATCCATATGGAAGACTGACTAAAAGATTACATGATGGAAAAGGCCGCTAGTTTCAAATGGAATTGCTACCCATAAAGCTTTTGGTCACGAGACTTTGAAATGAATAATAAAATATAAGTAACCATCTACGTAAGCTAAATATATCGGCAAGAGCTTATAGGAAAAACCGTATTTCATCAATGCTTTAGTTTTGCATCTATTTGATGGAGCTGAGTTCCTTTTCATTAAAGGTTAAGGAACTAGATGCCTATGTCCCTGCAATATACCTCGAAGCGCCAGCCAGTACCCTTGAAGACAAACTCTGCCTAACGTAAGTTGCGTTTATATTGCGAAGTGCATCTTTTATAAAGGCCTCTAAGTGTTCGATGGTTACCCATGTTGTATTTATATTGTATTACCTAGGCCTACTTGGTAATGCTGAGTAGCCATATACTATTCTAATTTCTGCAAGTTTAATGCTCTATTAATAGTGCTGCATTTGCTGCATTTTTAGGGTCGAAAAGCAACTGGCCAATTTCAAAGAGCTTGTACTTAGAGTCATACGGCAGGAGATGTTGGCGAAGCTTGAGGAGTTTTCTCGCTGTTCCCGAAGGCAGGTATTGTTGCTCCCAAGAGGCGTCATTAGTGTTTTCGCACGTTAACAGATATTTCCAACTGCTTAGAATGATTCTTTTCGGAACTCAATTTCCCGGTTAAGTTTGGAGTTTTTAAAACAAGTATTGTGAAAAGCACATCACTGCAACATTTACAGAACCAGTACCAGTCTTGTGCTATTGGATTATATGCGTCTTAACGTAGTTCATCGTCACTTTTTTAAATCGAAAGACCCTCCCTGAATTTTGTTTTTAAGTAAACGGTTATATGAAAGACTTCATTTCAAATCTATTCTGTATAGCTTAATTAACCATTTAGAACCTGTAGCCGTTGATGAAACTTTGCAGGATCTCAGGGCTCTTGTAGGGTAGATGGTTTATATGTTTGCCCTAATTGAGCTTTTTTGTTTCTATCGCGGATTCGAATTCTGCTTAGCCCACCTGAATTTTCGCTGTAAGGAAGCCATTTTTTAAATGTTTTGATCCAAATGTTCGGCGGATCGTTCGCGCTTGCATATCTTTTTTTAATTAAAAACTTTATTTATATTTTCCCTGACAGACAGAAAATTTAATGTAAGTCCGCATAACTACTCGACCTAATGCAACTACAGATGAGGTTTTAGGCGAAAGACTCAAAGAGGTTTCTGCCAAAAGCCTGTAGGCCTATCTCTAGGAATAAACTTGAGCGTCAATTTTACCGTCACCGGAATTTCTATCTCACATACGTATTCTTCCCTGGATGATCTTTGTTCTCACGATTTGTCATAGTCTACTAACGTCTTGTCAGTAGGAATGTTATAGGTATAAAAATAGTTTGGATGGTCACCTTTTGGAGAACATAGAGCAGTATGTATATGGGGAGACAGGAATGGCCATTTCCGGCTCAAAAATAATCGTCATTCAGCTTATACTTAGCAAGGTTTCCGGTTTTTTTTGTTCCCAAATGCCCTATCATTACGCCACGATGTTAAAGGCATCCAACTTCCAAACCCACGGGGAATCAGACCTGGGCTTAGGTAAGGCTGACTGACTACGGCTAATAAACCAGAAATGACCATCCTAGTCTCTGTTCTTGCCAGGTCTCGTTCTGCATGCAGTAGTAGTCGCTGCTTGGCTGCATACGAGAGTTCTACACTCAGCAAGTCGCATAACCTCATCGATGGGCAGATTGTACATTGCTGAGCTTTTTACCGCGTACAGGGAGTTAAACAGCCAATTCCACGAGGGTGAAGCTAAACATAAAGAAAGTTCCTGTAGAACGAATAAACTTTCGAGGAGCGGATTAAAGTTGGCGGTAAAATATTGGGTCTCCTAGGATATCACAATATGATTTAAATTGACGCTTTGTTTTTCTGCTAACCATCCTGCTAGAGCCTGCGTGAAACCCTCAGGGATTACTTTAAGCGACCAAAGCCCCAAAGGACGGTTCAAGAACCGGCACCCTCATCCTTTTCCGTCTCAACAAAGGCACCGAAGACGCCGCCACCACCACCGCCACCGACACCGCCACGGAAGACTCCCCTCTCTCCGTCGAAGTCAGTCCGAGTGCCTCGGACACAGCTCTACTATCCCTGGCAGGACTCTTCTCTGCGCTTCCGGTCGAAGTCGTCCACACCCTCGGTGCCATTTCCGCCGGATTTAAAGGAAAGCCTCGAGCAGTGGCTGCGGGAGTACCCCAGCAATTTGGACTGCAGTGCAGTCGAGAACTTTAACAAGTGGATGCAGGAAACTCCAGGTGATTGGCTATCCTAGGCCCTGATGCTATTCCTCTAGTGCTCCCCAATAATGGGTGGGGTGGTTTAAACGCTTGACCAACACAGGAAGCCACTTTAGGGAAGG